TAGGATATAATCTGATAGTTTCGGAAAGTTTCAGTTATAATTATTAGATAGAAAAACAAGTGTAAAGAGATATTCGATTTGGCGTTACTAATGTAAGTCATTGATAGTAAAATTACAGAAATTGCCTTAGAAAAAATAGTCGGAACACGCCACAGACTCAATGATATTATGTACTTGTATAAATATTATAATCCGTGTGGTGATGGATTAAGAATACGGAGTGTCACCACCCCTGTTTATCTCATTTGGTGTCGTAAGAGCCCACTGAAGGAACAAACTATGAACAACGACTTGACACAAACCGTATGCCAACCCGTCTCGCCAGCGTGGTATATTACCAAAACCTCCTGTCTAAAGAGATAAATATATATCCAGCAGTGAACTATTAATGGCTGTTGATGATGATGATGTAAATTATAATGTCCGAATGTTCATGGATATACCTTATCGAGGTTCGGTACATCTCATGTGTGCCGAACCATGCCTTGGTACATTTGGGTCGTCTTGACTGGAGTGATACAAAACCGGCTAACAGAAAACCGGTGTTAAGCATTTTCTTCGTTGCTTTTCAACGGATGATGAATTAAAATATTTTAAACGTTAAAGAAAAATGTACTAAAACGTATAAGTTCATTTTATTTATCTGAAAGTCGGTATACAAAGTAACATCTCTGAGAGATCCTGTTTTAGGCAGGTACATTTACTTAATTCAGTTAAGTACCTCACGTGCTAGATTTGATAAGTATGCTTATCCAGGATAACACAAAAACTTGTGTGTGAAAACAATAACTCGAGATACTTTGCGCTAATGAGTTACAATTGTCTTGAGTGCATAATATATGAAAAAGACACAAAACACAACTACGTATTTTAGATGTGTCTTTTAAAAATGGAATCATATTTAAACAAAATATGATTCCATCTAGTTTCAAACTAAACTACGGGCACGATTACAAAATTGTAACATCACTGATTTCAATTTACATGCGTAAACATAATAAGGGTTCGTTTGTTTGTGCGGCAATTTAGTGTACGAACAATATAAATTGGAGAAAGCAACTTGTATGATCTACAAATATTTGTTGCGGAGTTTATTGTATGTATGTATTTACAAAAAAAATGCAAATAAGTATTTTATCAGTCAATCTAGCTTTCATAGTACAAGATCTACTTAGTTTTAAACTAGATGGCGTTGTGTGTCAGATGTCCGAAAATATTATTATAATTTTATAACTTTTGGTATGCGGTTTAATCAAAGATTTATTCTATTTTCTAGCAATCCTTGATTCGGTAGACGAAAGAAAGAACTGCTATGTTTGTATTATTGTAAATATAGTATTGTAAAGTTCTGCTAAGTTTAAAATATGTGAGAATTGGTATAGGCTACCTTCACTAAAAACAATTATCTTTTGGAATTATTACCAACATTACATTTAAATAAGTAATGGTAACTCAAATATATTGTAATTATTTATATGGCAATAATCGGCCATCATTTCTTCGTGTTAACCTGTTACCTGCTCTGTAGCGAGCGAGAATACACGACTCAAGATTATTAATGTTTTTTGTTACTACTCTCGACCATCGAAGACCGCCAAAATACAGCCCACTCGGCTCACGTCATTGCCACAATCCTATTAAAGCACGTAAGAAAACCAGAGAAGGGACTTCGATCGAAGTAGCAAATATTGTATATTTTTGATTGTATTCTGCTTAGGTTTTCATACTGCCTTATGTATAGGTCAGAATGTACACATCTATTTGGATAAAAAATAGGCATAACTATTTATAAACAATTGTAGTAGTAATTAGCTTTAATAAATAGCCATTGGGTGTCGATCTCATTGGTCGGCCCGCAGTATGTTGGAATTATTACCAACGTTAAATTTATATTAGTAATAGCAACTCAAATATATTGAAATTATATGGCAATAATCAGCCATCACTTCTTTCCTGCTCAATATCAAAGAAAATTGCCTAATAAATAATTGTTCAATCTATTTAAGACTTTAAAATACACATGATTCTAAAAAAGTATTTTCAACGATTAGAAAAGAAAAGAAATTTTTATATAAAAGCAGTTTGTTCGATTTAACAAGTACTTAAAATGTACATTTATGATTTGTTATTTAGTCAAGCATGTGCCTACAAATCCATGTCTATTGTAGAATTTATATGTATTGTAACACGCGATGCACATTGTCAGCAGTTTGTCTAGGAAGTACCTAATGCATTAGATATAAAGTTATTTAGCTGTGTCAGGTGTAGATGAAAATACAGAAGTAAAACTTTAAACAATTATATCCATCATCAACAGCCTTTAACGGCCTCTCCTTAGAAAGGAGGTTTTGGCCTACTATACCACGCTGGCCAGACGGGTTGGTATAGGGTCTGGGGTGCTGGGCTAGAAAACCTCCTCGTGGTGCACCCTGGAAACGCTGGCGATGGTACTGTTCCCTCCTTGTCCTCTTGGAGGAGAGGATTATCGCCAGCGGCCAATATTCTAGCAGAAGAGGCAGCCGTTCATCGGCTCTCGGGCAAGGCCTGGTCCAGCAGGGTGGGCGTGTCTGCCGGTTGCCCTGCTGGCTCTTCGCTCTTCGGAGCATGGAGGAGGAAACCTCGGTAAAAAACCTGATGGCGGGGCCCTGTAGGGGCCACAGTTTCTCCGCTGACAGCGGTGGAGAAAGGAGGACGGGCTCGGCGTGTACTCACACTACCACCGAGCAGGCAGGGGGACGTAGTCTCCCTGTCAACCGTCGGCATATCGTAATCCCGAGAAGAGCGCTGTGGTTAAGTCTCGCGGCTCTGATCGGGGGCGAGGGTCTTGGCTTAACCGCCCGGACCGCGAGGAAGATAACCTCTCTAAAAAATTCCCCGAATCCCGTGTTCTGGTGCGTGGCCAGGGGATGCATGGCTGATGGGAAGTTCAGTCGCGAGCGCACTCCAAGCCGAGGTACCTGCGGACCCCTCGGTTGGGTTAAAAACTTACGCTTGCCCGGGTAATGGGGGATCTCTGCCCGGGTGGACCTTTTAGTTCTCCCCCACTCGTGGGATTATTTATGAATATGAATTCTGACAAAAATATAAAGAAACGGCAACCAACACAAAACAAACAGAAACAGGCAAGCAAAACGGACTCTGAAATGCAAGAGAAGAGGAACAGTGGAGTGGATGGGTCATCCACTGAGGGTGAGATGGTGTCAGGAACGCCCATCTCGATGGGGCTCCCAGAAGTCAGTCTGACTCTGATCTCTGGGAGCCGAAGAGCATCGAATCGGCTGCGTTCCGGATCTGCCGCTTCGTCGGATGGCGCGGAGGCCATGGAAGCGGAGCGGAGCGACAGCCGGAAACGCGGACGCTCCAGGGAAGAGGGGACCGACACGTCCGGCGAAATGATGCCACCAAAGGTGGCAAGCAGCCGCCGAGGGAGGGCGCGCAAACCGGCCTCGGCCCCGGTCTTAACCCCGTCAGGCTCCGCGTTCTCCAACGCGGAGTCCTACAGAAGTGTACGGGTGGACGGCGAGGCCGTAGCGGAGGAGGAGATCGCGGATCTCCTGCTCAAGGTTCGGGAGCCGGTGGGCGGAAATGCCCCCCAGGCTCCCGTGTCCGTGCAGGAGAGGGCGAAAGCGGCGGTGGCCGTCATTCACAAGGTGGCCACCAAGTCCGTGAACCTTAAGGGCTCGTTTGTGAGGGCCCTTAAGGACTCCTCCTCCGCTTTGTCGGAGGTCGTGGAGGGCCTAGTGGGCGACGTTTCGCGCCTACAGGTGGCCAACGAGAGGCTGACGGAGCGGGTGAATGAGCTGAGTGCTCAGTTCGCCCGCTTCCAGGCGAACCTCCCCGAGCGGGAAGCCCCGTCCGCGTCCCAGCCTGCCCCTACCACCAACCCAGGGGCATTTGACTCCCAACTGCGAGAAATCCTCATCGCAGTTGGGAATATGCTGGACGGACGCCTGGCTGGCCTGGAGGCGAGACTGCCTCCTGCGCCGATTATGCGCCCCCCGCTCGCGTCGGCACAGCGGCCTAAGGCCGCCGCTCCGACCGCGCTCCCCGTAGTGGGAGGCCGCGTCTCCTACGCGGCGGCGGCGTCTGCCCCGACTCCATCGGCTCCCCAAAAGCCGAGGAGGGGGGCCAAGGCACCGGCCCAGGCGCCGGCCAAGGCACCGGCTAAGGCGCCGGCCAAGGCACATCCCCAGGCGCCGGCCAAGACGGGGCCTAAAACGGCGCCGAGGAGCGGAGTGGCATTCCCTCCGCTCCCCACTCCGACACCCCTGCCGGGCCCCTCCGCACCTGCCCCCTCCAACGAGGGTTGGCAGGAGGCGAGGGGCTCCAAGAAGTCCCGAAGGCGGGCCAGAAAGGCTGCCCAAAAAGCAGCCCAAGCCCAGCCTTCGCCACCGGTGGCAACGGCCTCTGCAAAGAGGCCGCGGAAGCTGCAGCCGCCCAAAACCGCGGCTGTAGTTGTGACCGTGTCCCCGGAGGCGGCTGACGGCGGGCTGTCCTATGCGGCCGTCTTCAAGAAGGCCCGGGACAGCCTCGCCAACGAGTTTTGGGACGGTGGGGGTCAGGATGCGCCTCGCCCAGACGGGAGCTCGAGTTCTCGAGTTCCCTGGGGCTGAAGGTGCGAAAAAGGGAAATCGGCCCCCAAAAGGGGGAATAATTTGGAACCAAAAAATGGGAAAGGGGGGAGGTACGGGGGAACGGGGGCGGGGAAGTGAAAGGGAAGAAAAAAAAGGGGTAAGGGAAAAGAAAAGGGGGCACGGGGGGGGAAAAATAAAAATAGGGGAAAAGGGGGAAAAAAAGGGGGGGGGGGCCCAAAACCCGGAAAGAAAGGGACCCGGGGGGGGGAAGGGCGCCAAAAGGGAAAGGGGGGAAGAAAATTAAAAAGAAAAAACGGGGAAAAAGGGGGGAAAAAAGGGGAAATTTTTTTGGCTGGCGGCGGACTTTTTCCCCTGGGGAAAGGCCCCGGGGGGAATTTTTGCCCCAAAAAAATTGTTTTTCCGCCAATGCCGGGCCAACCAAACCAAAGCCCCACCGGGGGGCCTGGAAGCCAGGACGGGGAAAGCCGCGCCGTTAACCGGGAGGAAAAAACGGGGGCAACCACCAATCCCGGTCAAAAAGGGGCAAACCGCCCCGGTTCCCAAGGGGTTTGGAGCTCCCTTTTAACCCGGCCAAAAAAACGTCCGCGCCAAAAAAGGGACCCGGCCGGGCCAAAGGGTCTGCTTTTTACCCCGGAAACACAGCCCCGGGGGGCCAAAAACGAAAAACCCCCCCAAAAGCCGCCCCAAAGGGGAAAAAGGGCCCCCAGTCAACCAAAAATTGGGGAACCGGCCGGACCGGGGCCGCGGCCGGGCAACCGGGCAAGGCCAAAAACGGAAAAGCCTGCCCGCCCCTTCAAAAAGCCCCAAAGGGGCCCCGGGAAAAAAAGGCCCCCAACAAACCCGATGGGGGAAAACCGCAAGGCCCCTCCCCCGCAGGTCCCTTCGGAAGAAACCCCGGTCCCCGGGGGGTTAAAACCAAAAACCGACCCAGGGGCGGGGTTCAACCGAAAAGAAAAAATCCCCCCGGCGCCCCCGTGCGCCCATGGAGGAAAAGGGCCCCCAAAAGGACATCCAGTTAAAAAAGAGAAAAAAAAGGTCCCCCCAACAAACAAAAAAGGCCAAAAAAACGAACCTGGGGAAACCAAACCTTGTTTCCCGGCGGCGGGGAAAAGGAAAACCCTCCCCCCTTCCCCCTGGCCCAAAAACCCCAATTTTGGCCACCCCCAAAAATGGGTTCCGGGTAAATTTTGGCCCGTAAAGTCCCCGGGAAGCCCCCTAATTCGGGGGTTTTATTCCCTCCCCGTCCAAACTGGATGGGTGACTGGGACGGCTCCGTGGCAGTCGTCGGTTCCACGACGGCTCATTCCCCGCCCTTGTCGCTAAGAGACAAGGGCACTGGATATGTTGCCGTCGAGTGGGGGGGGATCACCATATATGGTGTCTATTTCTCCCCCAACCGGAGTTTGAACGACTTCGAGGTTTTCCTAACCAGCTTGGAGACCTCGATACGGCGACTAGCGTCTGGGCACGTCCTTGTGCTGGGGGACTTCAACGCAAAGTCCACTGCGTGGGGTTCCCCCAGGACGGACGCCAGGGGCGAGGCCGTAGAGGAGTGGGCGGCCTCGGTGGGCCTCTGTCTTCTAAACAGAGGCTCCACCAACACGTGCGTGCGACAGCAGGGGGGGTCGATAGTGGACCTTTCGTTCGCTACCCCTGCCCTCGCCGCACGAGTAAGGAACTGGTGTGTCCTGGAAGAGGTTGAGACGCTCTCGGATCACCTGTATATCCGATTTGAGCTCTCCCGGACCCAGGACTCCAGTAGGGGTCACGTGGCGCGGCGTTTATCCCGCTTTCCGCGGTGGGCTGTTGCCAGGCTGAACCGGGACCTACTAGAGGAGGCAGCCATAATTCACTCGTGGCTGTCTCCTCAGGCTCCGACCGAGGAGGTCGACGTGGGGGCTGGCCGCTTTCGCGATGCGATTACGCATGTATGCGATGCGGCCATGCCCCGCGTTCGAGGTCGTCGGCCTCCAAGGAAGGAGGTCTACTGGTGGTCCCAGGAGCTGGCGGACCTCCGTGCGGCCTGTACAAGTGCCCGGAGGTCCTACACGCGCAGTCGGCGGCGTCACCGTGGAGACGGTGAGGAGGACCGGCTTCATGAGGAGTACCGACGGGCGCGGAAAACTCTGAAGCTGGCCATTAGCCGCGCCAAAGAAGAAAAGAGACAGGAGATGCTGGAGGGTCTTAATCGTGACCCTGGGGTCGCCCTTACCGCGCGGTGCGACAAAAGCTCCGCGCGTCGGGCCCCCCCCTTACGGAGACTCTCCAGCCCAGCTTCCTGCGAGAAGTGGTTGAGGGCCTTTTCCCGCAACGAGCGGAACACACTCCCCCGGCGATGGCCTCCTTGGCCGGAGACGACGGGGAGCACGGGGAGGAAAATGTTCCGCCCGTCCGGGATTCGGAGGTAGGGGCGGCTGTTCTACGGATCCGTTCCGAGAACACCGCCCCTGGGCCAGACGGGGTACCGGCCCGAGTGCTGGCCCTGGCCCTCAACCACTTGGCAGACCGCCTCGGGGAGGTGTTCGACGCTAGCTTGGCGTCGGGACGCTTCCCTGAGTGCTGGAAGAGCGGGAAGCTGGTCCTATTGAGGAAGCCGGGACGGCCTGCCGATTCGGTCGCGGCCTATAGGCCCATCGTGCTGCTGGACGAGGCGGGCAAATTGTTTGAGAGGGTTCTTTCTGCCCGCATCGTCCGGCACCTCTGCGAGGTGGGCCCCGATCTGTCGGACGCCCAATTTGGTTTTCGGGCGGGGCGTTCGACAGTCGACGCTGTGTTGCGCCTGAGGGCCGTGACCGAAGAGGCCGTGAGCTGTGGCGGCGTGCTGTTGGCGGTGTCATTGGACATCGCCAACGCATTCAATAGTCTGCCATTCAGCTGCATCAGGGAAGCACTCCACTATCATGGGGTGCCAAAGTACCTGAGGCGGCTGATGGCAGACTATTTAGAGGAGCGTACCGTCGTGTACGAGGACCGAGAAGGTAATTTGAGGTGTCGGCCCATGTCGTGCGGTGTTCCACAGGGGTCTGTTCTTGGACCCCTCTTGTGGAACATAGGGTACGACTGGGCCCTTCGCGCCGATTTCCCCCCCGGGCTGGGTGTAATCTGTTACGCAGACGATACCCTCGTGACAGCCCGGGGGGCAAACTTCCAAGAGGCGGCGCGCCTGGCCACAGGGGGAGTCTCCCTGGTGGTCGGGCGCATTGAGGCGCTGGGCTTACGGGTGGCCCTAGATAAGACGGAGGCCCTGTTATTTCATGGGCCCCGTCGTGGTCCACCCCCTGGCGCCTCAATCGTGGTCAACTCGGTCCTCGTACCGGTTCGGGCCCAGATGAAATATCTGGGCCTGATCCTCGACGGGAGGTGGCTCTTCGACGAGCACTTCCGACAGCTTGCTCCAAAGCTGGTCGGCGCTGCGTCTGCCCTAGGGCGACTCTTGCCCAATATGGGTGGACCCAGCGTCGCGACAAGACGGCTGTACACGGGGGTTGTCCGGTCAATGGCGCTGTACGGTGCACCGGTGTGGGCGGCGGCTCTGACCGCCCAGAATAGGGTACGCCTCTGGCGCCCTCAGAGGGTAATGGCGGTCAGAGCCATACGCGGTTACCGCACCGTTTCTACGGAGGTGGCATGCGCGTTGGCCGGAACTCCCCCGTGGGATTTGGAGGCGGAAGTGCTCGCCGAAGTTTATCGGCGAGTGGCTGACTTCCGGGCGGAGAGCGGATTTCGCCCTCCGCCCGAGGATGTGCGCGAGTGGCGCGAAGCCGCTCGCCGAGCCACGATGGCTCGTTGGTCGCTCCGGCTGGAGACTCCACGCGCTGGCTTCGCCGCCGTGGAGGCTCTCCAGCCGGTCATCGCCGAGTGGGCAGGGCGGCAGCACGGGACCCTTTCCTTCCGGCTGACGCAGGTGCTTTCCGGGCATGGTTGCTTCGGAAAGTACCTGCACACGGTCGCTAGGAGGGAATTGAGTCCCGCCTGCCACCACTGCGACTGCAGTGAGGACTCGGCCCAGCACACGCTGGCGGTCTGCCCCGCATGGGCGGCGCAGCGCCGGGCCCTCACTGCAGTCATCGGAGTGGATCTCTCGCTACCGGCCGTAGTACGCTCCATGGCCGGTAGCGACAGTTGTTTTACCGCGGTCGCAACCTTCTGCGAGGTAGTAATCTCGCGGAAGGAGGCGGCGGAGAGGGCCCGGGAGGACGACCTCCACTCGGACCCGATCCGCCGCCGGCGAACCGGGCGGCGGAGGCCCGCCTATCACAGCCTCATGCCGCCCTGAGTGTGGCCGCGGGTGGACGGGGTGGGTTTCCCCTCCACCCGCATTAGTTTGGCCAGCCGCGAGGGGGCGGCGTCCGCGTGAGCCAGACGTCGCCTATAAAGAGAGGAAAAACATCGAGACGGAGCCCGCACCAGGAGCGGGCTGGCGCTAGGAGGGGTCCGGATGTCTTAACAACAGCTGTTGTTCCCGGATCCCTCCTGTTACAGGCGCAGAGTGGCACACCGTGTGGTTTTAGTCGGTCCGAGTCCGACACACCACCCCGCCGCAAACCCCGGAGGGGTGACGGTCCGAGGGGATTTCCACACGATAAAAAAAAAAAAAAAAAAAAAAAGGGTCTGTTTCAAATTTTCCTTCTCTTTGCAGTGCTGTTGTCCTGCGTAGTTTACTCCCTTAGCCGGCTCTTACGACACCCACGGGATGAATAGGGGTAGTGACACTGTATTCTTAATCCGTCACCACACGGACGATTTAATTATACGAGTTCATTATATCCATATGAAGACATTTTTTTTTAAGTAATATTATATTTTTGTAGTTTCGGGTAGGTACAAAAAATCTTACCAATATTATATACGAAAGTGAGTTTATTTGTATGTTTTCAAGCGTTAACTACTTAACTACAACGTCATGATACTTTGCATACACCTTGGTAGGAGTACAGAAATGGACCATAAAGAACCTTTCCTCCTTATCCCGAGGGATAGAACAAACAAACTTAACATAAGCGTAGCCGCGAGTTAAAGTTAGTATACGATAGCTACTGATCATGTTAAACTAGTTTCTCTCAACCAACTATCAAAACGTTGCGGTCTGTAGAAACTTACATGAATTAATAATTTGTGACGTCACACTATGCTCTTGTCAAAACATTTACTTTATGGTTAAACAATTAAGAAACAATAATAAACTTTAAAATAACAATGAATCTAATTTTGAAGTCTTTTATAATTCATGAGGACTCGCTAAGTTATTTAGTTTAAACCTATTTAGGAAACCCTATTCATAAATTATTTTGGATATCCAATAATAATATATATATATATCGTTCTACGAATTTTGAAATAAATGTTATGTTAAGCGTTGTTATTTTCTTCGTGAAATTTTACTTAGCTATTAATATAACAGGATATATTGTTATATTATAATATTAGGTTTGTTTTTTATAGAAAACGATATTTTGCGTATTTATTGAAGGCTAGATACAAAAACAAGCAGGACGATAGCACTGCAAATAGAAGGAAAACTTGATACAAACCTTATCTACACCCATCTGGCCAGCGTGGTATTGTAGGCCAAAATCTCCTTTCTAAAGGCCTATGTCCAGCAGTGAACTATTAAAGGCTGTTGACGATGATGATGACAAAAACCAGCAAATGTGATTTTTACGAGTATCTTTCCTTTTATACACAAACGTAACTTCGTGCCTCTCAATAATGAGCTCCAGGACTGTAGTTTGTGTAATACTTTCGATACTTTTTAATAGTATAGGGGTTACACGAACAGACTGGTTACCTAATGATAAATAGATGCTGCCACCGATGGACACTTAAAACTTAAGACTCAAACGTGCGTTGCCCTTTGAGTGCTTAATTAAAGAGAATGAAGATTAGGCTGCCGGTAATCTCACTTGGTGATGAAAAGAAACTAAAGAATCTCTTAACGCCCGTTTTCTCCGATGTATAACTCCGGTTGAGCTGGACATTACTCTCTCACGTTCAACACTTTTTCGTGTGGGAATGACGATTGGGATGAATTTTATTAATTTTAGAAATCACATCATACATCAACAGCCTTTAATAGTTCGCTGCTGAATATAGGTCTCTTCTTGGAAAGGAGGTTTTGGCGTGCTGTACCACGCTGGCCAGACGGGTTGGTATAGGATTTGAGGCAAGTTTTTCTTCTCTTTGCAATGTTGTTGTCCTGGGTAGTTTGCTCTCTTAATCGGCTCTTACGGCATCCACAGGATGTGACACTCCGTATTCTTAATCCGTCAGTCTTCGTTATACTGTTAATAACTTAAACAGAGTTAGAGATATTAAAATACCTATTCACTGATGTACTTAATATAGCACACGGTATATTTTTATCGGCATATTAATATTGAGAGCTTAAAAATCTGAAGGACATACATGTTCATAAACACATAAAGAAGTAAGCTATCCAGTTATACTTCTGTTTCTGATTTACACTGAATTCAAGAATATTTTTAAACCGACAATTTCATGCAATTCCCATTACTCCAACAGTCAAAGAAGTTCTTGGACTCTAAGCCATCCTATGGCTTAATTATATAAAGATAAGGGTTGGATTGCTTTGTGAAGCTCGTCTTGAATAATGTATGGCTCGACCGACTGGCGGAATATTGACTGTTGTATTTTCATGGCGCAATATTCCTACTGTTGAGTACTGCCTTCGGATTTTAAAAT